AGTATATATATATATTATATATATATGCATATATATATATATTTATATATGTTATATATATATATATATATATAAACATACACATGCACGTACACATATACATAAACAAAAACATACACATACACATGCCCATGCACATACACCTACTTATAGTATGGCTTTATTGTATGATACATACTTTTATAGACACGATATCGTAGACGAACTCGAATACATTCACATAAACGTGTCAAAACGATTTTATCTTACCGTACAAGCACACGCAAACATTGCACTTATGTGCGCTCAAATTCACTCGTGATGTAGCAGATATACACGCATCTACACATACACATACTGACCATACATATATGTTCACTAATACATATACACACACGTTAGTATACATATACGCACACGTACACGTACACATAATAATACACATACATATACGCATACACATGCACTTACACATACGCATGCATACGCATACATAAAGACTTTCATATACATTTACACATACGCATACACAAGTACATACGCATACATAAAAACTTACACATACACTTACACATACGTATACACGATCACATACGCATACACACTACACACTACACACTACACATGAGCATGAATATATACATGTACGTGCACATACATGGACTTACATGTCGTTCCGTGCATATGTGTGTATAACTTTACGTACAGCCAATCTGAGTAAGATTATGTTATGATACTACACATACACTAGCTGAATTTTTATTACCATACCTGAACCTATTTCGCAGGGCATGATGATTATGATGATGGGTACTGCTGGAGAGAATATTCCAAAAGCACCAAAAGAAAAAACTGTATTCGTGGAAGACTTGACCGATACAGACATACCTACCGGATTTCCTCCTGGACTTGAAAATTTGGGAAATACATGTTATATGAATTCAACTATACAGTGTTTGAAGGTTTGTAATTTTTATCGGTTTCTATATGCTTCAACAGAGATACTTTGTCCGGATAGCATGGCCAACAGGACTAGATGACGGTTTCATACCTCTCACCTCATTGTTTGCTTTCGTTTCGCCGCCAGGCCATTCCTGAGCTCAAACAGCAACTGATGAAAATGGAGAGTGCTGGTCAACTGAACCCCAACACCATGTTGTCGAGATCTCTGCGTGACTTATTTGCACGCATGGATAATCAGCACAGCGGCATATCTCCCGGTGGATTTCTTTCCGCATTACGGCAGGTATTCCCAAGATTCGCTGCTCGTGACGACCATGGTGGTTTCATGCAACAGGATGCTCAGGAATGCTGGACCGAAATCGTAAATTGTATCAACAGGGCGGCACCAGGTATTTGCTTTCGTGATACAGATTGTAGCAGTGCAGCTATTGGTGTAAAATTACAATTTGGAGGTTGCCCTATGGATTTACATTGTTGTGAATTGCGAAACGACTCAAACACGATGGAATCTAGTGAATATTTGTATTCCAATGCTCATTATAATCGAGACTTTCATGATTTTAGGGGCTTGTGTTTGTATTCATACAACGCCCTACCATTTTCCCAGGTGTTAATACCAGTGATCAAAATAATACATTTGTGAAGCAATACCTCGGACTTGAAATGGATAGCAAAATACAGTGCCTAGACTCTCCTGATGAGCCCGCAACTACGGAGAAAGAATCTCAATTTATTCTGAGTTGCAACATCACCACCGAGGTAATTTTCATATTTGAATTTGCGTCGTTTTGTACACATTTGTTGACTATGTATGCCTTTTATTCTCTATTCATATTCTTATTGATATACCATGTTCAATTTTTAGGTCAACCACTTAGTCAATGGCATTAAGCTGTCACTCCAGAACAAACTAGAAAAGACTTCACCGACGACGGGCTCCATTGCTCAATACCAAAAAACTTCTGGCTTCAGTCGTTTACCGAATTATCTGACTATACAATATGTTCGGTTCTATTGGAAAGCTAGCACATCAACCAGTGCAAAAATTTTGAGGGTATGCATAAAGCATTGCACATTGATCTGTATTTCGTGCACAGTTTGTTCATACTAAGCGATCACCCAAGTGGGAATATCAATTTAGAGATGCCCAGGATTAGATTACATATTTCTAAATTTTCATGCGCATTGCGAACTATTCATTAGTGCAAGCATCGCGCAATTATTTGCATTTCTCGCACACTCTGCGTAGATCTATACGATGATTCAGGTGAGAATTCTCAATTCATCGGTGCCGCAAGACTACAAAATATTCTACAAAATTAACTTGCTTGTTGTAAGCTACATAGTCGGCTAGGATTAATTTTTGTATTTGATTCCTTGTATATGTGCTTATTTGCCGCATAGAATGTGAAATTTCCTCTTGAACTGGATATGTACGAGTTTAGCACGCCGGAGCTGCAAGCGAAACTCAAGCCGGCACGCCAGCTTTTCGTCGAACAAAGTGAGCGTGACGCTGACAGTTCGGTATGTTTGCTTCGTTGGGACTTCCACTTCGGCCATTTTTTCTTTGGGCTAGCACAGGAATTGGTCCCGCTCTACCCAGTCACTCCTTTGTGCTGTAACCCTCACTGTATACACCGGCAACCTTTGGTTAATATTCAGGCTAAAGCTAAAGCAGACGATGATAAAGTCAAGATGGACGCGGACCAAAAAACTGGGAAAAAGTCTATGCCATCGGAATTTGCAGATGGTATGTCGTGCAATCCGATTCTCAGTACTTTTTTTGGGTCTTTTGCTGACCATGGCCTTCTAAAATAGTAACACTTTCAGGAAGCTATGTGTTGACCGTAGTATATAAACCATAATTGACCTAAAACTTCCGGCCTTTTTTATGAAGACACGGGTTCAAATAACAGTGGATTCTATGAGCTGAAGGCGGTCCTTACTCACAAGGGTCGATCAAGCGATTCCGGCCATTATGTTGCTTGGGTTAGAAGTGAGACTAACGCCAAGGAATGGATGCTATTCGACGACGACAAGGTGCGCTCGGGCTGTTCTGGCTACCCGCTTATGCCTTAGTGCACGCGCTCTTGTCACATACAATAGATCTTATACTACCGTATTAATATTGGGCTTATTCTTATCGTGATGGATATCGAGCTGCTATGTCATTATCACGAAAGATGTCTTATTCTAGACCACATTCATAACTACACAGGTAACATCTGCTACTGAGGAACAAGTTCTTGCCCTTTCTGGTGGTGGTGATTGGCATATGGCCTATATTTTACTATACGGCCCAAAGGTATGTGCACCCCGTATCAACTTTATTTTTGATATTATTATTGATTAATGTTTTCGCAAATGATGCGGCTTTGCTTGTTTTGCCCTAAACTCATTTTACCGTCTGTGCATAAATATGAGCGTATTATGAATCCGCGTTCATTTTATATAATTCTCGAATGTGCAGGTCTTGAAATCTGACGCCGACTTGGCATAGAACAGAAAAAGGGAGACATCGTCCCGAGACATTGTCATGACTCGTGAACTACAGGCCCTCTTAAAGTAATATAACCAGTAAAGCAAGCATTTCTTTGAATTTGGGGAGACAGTTTGAACTCGGTTGCGAAGGGATACAGAGTAAATGATATATATATAATGCAACTTAATAGTTTTGATTAAGTATTGAAATATACATACGCCTCGGACAAACGAACGATGCTATTCTGCTTCTTCTTTTTTTTCAGCCATATTGTGTGAATAATAGGGCATTGTCTTAATTTAACCATGTTGTGTGAATTGATAAACCATAGCGAGAAATTAAAAGGTAGTCTCCGGTCCGATGAGTTAGTTATATATGAACAGAAAATATATAGCGTTCTAATTTGTATGTTCACGGACAAATTAACTTTTTTGCGTGGAGCTTGTATACGCCGCAACCGACTCGCTTTTGTTTGTCGTCGATAATTTACGCTTTGAAACCCGCCTCTGGACCAGGTGACGACTATATTAGAGTGTGCACAACTTACTATGCTTTGTCGACATGCCCTATTAGACCACCGCCACGCCGCCGGAGTCGTTCAATAACAATGTTACTGGGATTTTCATGAATCACATTATGTCAATTTAACTTAAAAGATTTCGTAGATGACGACCACATTTGCACCACTCCCTGCATACCCTTGCAGCATGTTGAAGAGCCATCTATTTAGTTCGTGTCTGACTTCATATCTTTTCATAACTTGAAAAGGCACTTACCATGGTCTTCGTGCTCGTGCCTGCGTATAGCCTTCTAAATCAAACTCTGCGATCCAGTGCCTTCCGATTTCAGTTACAGATTCAATCCACGATGTGGCACACATATTCACCATAAATACATACACAATATATCAGTTATGGTATTCTTATGACCTTCAATGCACCGTATTTTCTCCTGAAGTGGACTATACTGAATATAGACAGAATCGTACAACAGAAAGTCATTCACACGTCATTAGAAGTGAGTTTTATTATATATATATATATATATATGACAAAGGTTTGAAGCCTGACAAAAAGAAAAGTATATTTCGTGCTAAATTTAAAGTTGCAGGGACCACAATGTTGTCATCACGTGCACGAACAGAGCAACCACAAAGATACATGCTCGTTCGTTATTTCTTCTTGGATGATTGTTGGACTGAGTGCAACACCGTAGGATTAAAGTACTGTGCTACCGCCCTCGAATACCATTACTGGTTCCCGATTTTTTGGACATTATGGACGCCTATGTTATGTCAAGAATACGCGATTGACATCAGTCAGCAACATATGGAAATAACTGATTTGGGCAGCCCTCAATTCTACTACGAACCTCATGATAGTTCACTATCCAGCTTAGTATCATCTTCTCAGGCACATACCCGGACCTTTTTCTTAATAAGCAGCGAACATATAACTTGTTAAGAACGGAGGTGGTAAATATAAATAGCCGAGGGGTTCGTTGGCAGCCCTACAGTCTTCTTTTGGCTTCGCATCCAGTTACCTGTACTATTTGTATGTGTCGAGAGTTGAAACAGAAATCGAAACTCGATTCAAAACGAGACTTGGTTGATCTGTACGATACATCCTTTTAGCTCACTAAAATCTTGAATTCAGCTACTCGCCTGCCTTTGGAGATGCCTTACTTTTGTTGCACATAATTAATCGAGGTTTAAAAGGCGAAGTATTGAGGAATGGAATGTCTTTCTTGTTAAGTAGTAGTTTGCCGACGCCTCAGAAAATCCTCTCACTGCTAGTCTTGCTCCGAACAGTGATGGATATATTTAATATGACAGACAGTCGATTTATTAATGTATTCACCTATTGTGATACTATTTTGTATAGTTTGCACAGACTATGTATTTATGTTTTTGTTTGTTATGTTTGTCTGTAATGGTCACTGAATTATCTATTTTATTGAAATCAAAAAGGTACGTTGGAGTGAAGCGACGCTGACAACATGTACTTCTTGGCGTATTACCGCTGGATGGGAATATTGCTGTGTTTTAGTCTACCTTCACGAGCATATTTTAGAACCACTCACGTGGTCAAATCGAGAGACTCTCCTGGACTAATCTCGAGTGGTGCCGATTAGTTTGTGTTCAAAAGTCGACCGTTGGTGAGAAAGAAATCTAACTTAGCTGTCCTCTAGGTTAAGTACGAGGATGGCCCACTCACCAAACGATCATATGAACTATAGTGCGGTGCAGTGCTATTTATATCTTCCCATCAGCTCCATGTCGATAATACCAGTGCGCTGTGTTACTATTGTTTATAGTAATTGGGTTGACAATTTTTGATATATCACACTAAACTTTCCTTGTACGTTGAAGGAAAAAGATAGCGTATCGCAGCAAATAAAAGCTTTAGATGATATAATCTCGATAAGTACTGTTGTAGCATGGTCTACGTCGAAATCATTCACACGGTGTAGTATACAATACATAGAAAATATATAGAACTCGAAAACTCAAGAGCAAGCTTACCCAGACTCATTGATTCTACTTTACCGCAAAATCCTGTACATCTTATGCTTTTAATATAATTCATCTATATTGCCGTAATAACTTCTCGCGCGTTGTCTGATTAATGTAAGCTAGGTGAAGAATTGATCCTGTAATTCAAACAGTTTCTGTTGTATACTTGTTTTAGAACTGACAAGGTTGCTATATTTATACTATCGCTGTGTCAGTTTTGAATTCGATTATTAATAAAGCTCTGAAAGATTATCACTTTCGACAGGAATGCAGAAAGGGCACAACTCTGGCGTTCCGTAGCAGTACTAGAAGCACGCTTATGTATATGGTGATGACTGCCCTCTCGTAAATATAGCTTACGCTTCGAATTTTTTTAAATTTGTAGTGACAATGTGGACTGTGGACGGTGGACTGTGGACTGTGGACGGTGGACTGTGGTCTGTGGTCTGTGGGCTGTGGGCTTGGCCTGTGGGCCTGTGGCCCTCGAATTTAATTATGAATTCAGAGTATGTATTTTTTGTGCGTTATACATACTGTACGATGTGTACCGGCTTAGTGTATTTATGACAATTTACATACACACTAGGCTGATACTCTCCGTGATCAGTGTTATTATTGGGGGGGGGAAGAACACACAAGAAAGGTGAACATGAGTTCACCTACGACCGCAGTGGAAGCACCAGATACAAGTAGTAGTGTAGCAGATGATCTATCATCCAAGAGAGGGCGCGATGAAACTGTTTCTAGTTCAAACAATGGTCTCGATGTGAGTAAGGATGACAACGCCGAGACTCAAATCCTCCGAGAAGGCGAAAAACGGACGAAACTATCTGTACAAAGAGTAGCTGATACTACACTATTAGCGGGTGCGCCAATCACCGATGTCTTAACTACTAGTGTCGAGACTTCTAAACCGAATACTGGCGGCTTTGGAGCGAGTACCGCGAGCAGTGGCTTTGGGCGAAAGGCTGATAGCGGCGTTGGCGGTGGGTTCGGCAGTTCTGGTACGTTTAGGTCGCAGTCCACAAAAATGACTGGATTTGGCTCTGCTTCGGCCAGTGGTGGGTACTTCATGAAAGCAGCGGCCTCGCTAGGCAAGGGCTCTGGGTTCGGAGGTGTGACCAGTGTGAACAGCGGGTCAGGTGCGGTCAAAGACACGAAGAGTCCAGCGCACATTGAAATTGGCAGTCGTGCGATGGCGGATGTGAAAGAGAGTACGAAAGTGGAAAGTGACAGTAAAGACGAAACAGCGACAGGGGCGGAGAAGGAGATGGTTTTAACTGCGACCGAGGTCGACGAAAAAGAGGTGGCTTCGGATAGTGCGCCAACCGTTCCGCTTGCGGGTCTTGTGGACGAGAATTTTGAGTACACTACAGGGGAGGAGGGTGAAAAACACGTTTACAAGGTATGTGGATTGTTGCTTCGCTTATTAATAGGCTCTTAAAATTGGTTATGATCGTGAAAAAGAAACTGTGAATTTACTTTTCGAGATGTCAAACCATAACAAACTTGTTGGACGTTCCGGGAGTCCCGTTCAATGACAACTCCATGGTGTGAATAGTGATCAGTCTCGCAAATTTTATATTTGGCCCCTCTCAACCGATGAGCATCTGTACAATCCAGAACTCTGAGACAACATCCATAGGCTTGTACATATATGGAAGTCTGGGTAAAGGTGGTGTTTACAACAAAATTCATATTTCTGTTCTATATACTCAGTATACAATCAATACACTCATTTACACACACACAAGTATATATATATATATATATATATGTATATATATATATATAAATGTGTGTGTGTGTGTATGTGTGTGTGTATACGCGTCTACATGTATATACGTGTGTATATATATTTGTATATGTATATATATATATTTATATATTTATATATATATGTATTTATTTATGTGTATGTGTTTGTGTCTGTGTCTGTGTCTGTGTCTGTGTCTGTATACATTTACAAACACGCACATATAATATATATATATATATATAAGTGTGTATATGTATGTATATGTATGTATATGTATATATAATTATATATGGATATATATATATATATGTGTGTGTGTGTATCTGTCTCTGTGTCTGTGTCTGTGTTTGTCTCTGTCTCTGTGTCTGTGTCTGTATACTTTACAAACACACATATATATATATATATATACATTATATATATATATATATATATTTTATATGTATATGTGTATGTATATGTATATGTATATGTATATGTATATATATTTATATATGGATATATATTTATATATATATTTATTTATTTATATATATATATATAAATTTACATATTTCTAGATACACATAAATATACTTATATACTTGTACATATATATATATATATTTATATATATATATATAAATATATATGTATATATATATATGTGTGTGTGTGATATATATCTATATATCTATCTATATATATCTATATCTATATCTATGTATATTATATATA